CTTTTCGCCGATATAAACATCGGATATCAAATAAGAAAGTTATAACAAAAAAAGGAATTTAGCGCTTTTTAGCGAGTGCCAAAAAAAAATTGTACACCTAAAATTTTTTCTCGAGTATTCAAATATAACTGACACACGTTAAAACTTTTTCGTGAAACGCCTTAATGTACATATCCCTAGCTTAGAGTGAAATTTTGCCAAGTCCAGTTTTTTTTTAATTTTACAAGAGATAATAAAAACCTTTCAAATTCATTTATTGATAACCTTATCCTTTTTCTGAAGTCGGTTAAAAAATGAATGTTTGTTAAACATTTAGGAATAAATGTATTTTTAATTGTTCTTAGTTCTTTCATCAAAACATATATTTTTTTAAAGGGACTTAGCAACTCTTCATTATAAATTAGCGATATGTATTTGAATTCGATTGGATAATTTATTTGATAATTTTCTTCTGCTTTTAGCCATGGTTAGATAACAAGCATACAGTTTTTGGGCGCGTATTTCGCGGCATGGAAGTGGTACAAAACATTTGCAACGCAAAAGCAAATCCTAAAACTGACAAACCATATGATGACATTAAAATTATATCGATACGACTAAGTAATTAAGAAATACAAAAAAAAATGTGTATGTCCTACGAGGGCGGAGAAACCCTTTCTAACTCCTTAACAATCAAACAGGGAGCACACACAGAAATATCATCCAACAAACCTCCCAACGAGTAATAAGAGAATAAGTACTCCCATAAATCCTAAATTTTGTTTTTTTTTCGGTTTTAGCAATTTTAAAATATCTTCCAAAAGAACGCCAAAAGAGGTCAGTCGCATGAACAATCGATTTTGTTCAGCTAATCTATTTTAATCTTCAGTCATTAAGTACATTAAAACACACATAATAATAAATAAATATGTAGTTGGCGTAGTGCATACCGATAGATCTTGTTCAAATATTCGCGGCATGCCTGTTTCCTTTTAAAACTTATTTTCCGTAAGATTTTTGTTTCATACTGTTCTTCTCTTATGATAACTTATTCCAAAGGCAGACAACTTCCTTTAAATTACAGTACTTTTGGCTCTAAAATCATTTAAAAAGAACACTCCTTGATTACTCTGAGTCATCGCTTTTTGCTCTTAAGCGATTAATACAGGAGTACAAAACCAAAAAGTCTCTCTTATTGCTCCGAAACCAAGCCAAAGGGATTTCTCATTTAGGGAGATCGCCCTTAAAGCTTGGTGGTGTTCTAAATATATATATATAATAAAATTTAAGGTTTCAGCTGCTAAAACAATATTTTTGTTAATCCACAATTTACTTACCATCTAAAATCCAATCGAAATAAAAACGGAATAATGATTAGTGCTACTCGTATAGAACATTATTTTAGTGTAATATTATGTATAAACTTAGATGCGCACTCTTTTTTTATAAGTACACATGCATAAATACTTACTATTTACAATATACTTATGCTATTCATAACAGTTTTGTGTCTTCAAAGGATAAATAAAACAATATGGTTTGTTAACATTACTGTGAGTATAATATCGTAATAGCTGCGTTAATACAAAATTTATAGTAGCGCCTAATTGAGGGACACGATCCCAGAGAATATAATTTATAATGTCAAACGAAGTGATGTTTTTATTTATAAATTTGTTTAATATATCACATTTATTCTTATCAAACACAATATTGAAACGTACTTTTGGTCGCTAATTATATGCATCTTCAATATGCACATACATACATATGTACATAAAATTTAAACTGATATCTTAAAAAATCGGAGCAAATAAAAAATAAAATAAGAGAAAAACCACGATTGAGCCTTAAATTTTATGATATCCCGTACGTATGTACTGATGTATGATACATATTATAAAATTGTAGGCCGACAAGGACTATGTATTACTTTAGAGTTGTCTTAACAAGCTTTTTGAATGCAACTAAATGAAATCTGGACTGTTTGAAAATACTCAGTAATATATGTATAATTAAAGCTTTTGCTGTAGCAAAATCACTTCAAAAGCTTGCCTATTTTTGTGGACCCGTTTTCATTGAGGTTATCGAACGATCGGCGTAGCGATCTCGTTGAAGAAGTCTTTTGGCTTTTCAAAATCAAGAAGAAGAAAAAATTACTAAAACTTTATTTTAATAATCATTCGGTATTAACAACATTACCTGTGAGTTAATTTCTGGAATCTATGTATGTATTTATAGATATTTTTTATCTATATACAAACATACTTGCATTTGTGGAGGTCGTACTGTAAAAACTAATCTTTTCTCACTTACTTTCAAACTTATCTCATTTGCTGATGTCAAATTGTAAAATCAAAGCGAACTAAATGCAGTAAATTCCTTAATTGTGATCCTCAATCCGAATGTAAATATTATTAGTTTCGTATATTTTTTAACAAGGCTTTAAAAAATGTTTATGATCGATTTTTATTCGTATCTATCTAGAACCCGATATTTAACAAAATTTCTCCTTCAAGCATCTACGCTATTGACGCTACATTGTGAGCTAATATCAAAATCGGACACACTATCTGAACCATAGCCTGTAATACCGCCGCCATTAGTCGCGCCGTGATTGTGCGTCGCTGCTGAAGCAACAGCTGCGCGCGGTCGTAAGACTTCAGGCACGTACACTGGCGCTGGGCCAGCCATTTCTACAACACTGGGACGGGGTACTGACGCACAACGTTTTATAGGCGACATGAACGTAAACAATGTCAATGTTAGCACGAGCGTAATAAGAAGTATAATGGAACGTGCATTGCCTCTTTCCCGTAGAACTGAGATCATTGCCATTACCAAGAGCAGAATTATAATTGCAGATTTGGTCATTGTGACTGCAGTCGAATGAATTTTTCCTCCATTCCTTGATATCATATTTGAAGGGCCATAAGCAAAATACAGGTTATGACGGTCCACAAAATGTTTAAAACAGATATATATCATTGCGAACGGCATTATTAGTGGACAAGAAACACTGTAAACCGTAGAAATAGTGAATACCAATACTGTCCAAGCATAGTGAATACCAAACGGAAATTCGATCAATATCGATTTGCGTATGTATGGCGTTTCAGCTTTCGATTTGGCCGTACACAACATCCAAATATAAACGATGAGCTCCGGAAATCGTAACAATTCCAGTGCCGTACCAATAAAAGCAGCCGTAATAACATAGTTAACATAGAATGAACTGCGGTCCGGCATAAAAACGCAATGCCAGCGTATGGTATCGTTGCTAATTGACCATTCGATTAACTTTTGTGCTGATGTTAGTCCCAATGAAGGCAAAATGAGAATCATCAATAATAAATAGCAAAAACACTTAATCATAATCGAATAATTTTGTAAAGAACGTGTATAATGTGCCAACCATTTATCGGAGAAGGCGACAATCACTGGCATCAGTGCTGCAAGTGTCCACAACAACAATGTTGGCAAAAACTCTGACACTAGTGGCGATATCGTGTATATATTGCCTTTAGCCAAGGCATAAGTATTTAGAAAGTTCAGCACGATTGCCGGTGTTGTGAGGAAGAAAAGGGCTAGAAATAGAATGAAGTTTACGGCTCCCCATTTGAGATACCAATTACTTTTGCTGACATTCAAATGCTCCCAAAACAGGTCATCTGGTGAAGGCGCGAACTCCAAATTCCACTTTCTATAAGTACCAGGTGTAAAGTGACTAACAATGTTTTGGGCCTCGTGTACAGTAGAAACAGTGATAAAGGCAATGCCAAGTGGTTCATTAAGTGCAGCAGCTCGCAAACGTGCGACGTCTCCAGCTAGTTTTTGCTCTTCGCGTTGATAGTAGGCGTATGCATTTTCTTTAGCGCAGGAGCATAAATTCGGTTGAACCTGGAAAACACAAAAAAAAAAAACAAATTATAAACTGTAAAACGAAGAAGAAAAATGGCTAAAGTCGTATGCTGACTCTCCTATACTGTCGCATTCACTTTATAACAGAATCGACAATTAGTTTTTGATTCGATAAATTTTTATAAAATGTTGGCTGCCGAAGTAGGGCGATTTTCCACTCATTCGTTGAGATAGTTTAGGATAAATTTGGGTATGCATTTTTGTAGTTTATTGAATTTCGGTAAATAAAGTGCAAGTTTTAAGTAGCTAAGGCTTTGCAAATTTTCACCAAAAATTCAAACTTTTTAATCAGAATCTGTAGAAAAATTTTTGGTATTCAGTTTTGTAGCCCATGTGATTCTAGTATAATGAAGTGCAAGTTTCAAGATGCTAAAAAATCCCGTTGGTTTTTGGCAATTTTTGTTTTACTGCAGCGTCCTCCACATAAAAGAAAATTGTCGAACGTACTTTGTATGGAAAAAACGTGAAACACCTTCAACTAGAAAAATTTTCAAATATCAACGGGATTTTTTACCAACTTGAAACTTGCACTTTATTATACTAGAATTAAATGGGCTACAAAACAGCATATCAAGATTTTGAATAAAAAGTTTGAAATTTTGGTGAAAATTTGTAGACTTTTATAAAAAAATTATTAACATTAAATAAACAAAAGACAAATAGCCGAAACTGGTCAAAATATCGCTTTCCTATTATTTTGTGTACAAATGTATGCATGTACAACTTTGTAAAAACTAATGTTATTCATTTGCGATTTTTTTCAAAACACTGGTTTTTAATGTAAATGTAATGTGAATTCTATTAGTTTCTTAGTGGATAATCGACCGATCTTTGTACAAAGCTGAAATTTATTTAATTATTTTTTGTTACGAAATAAAAAATATATATCGATCGAATATGTGCGAAATAAAGTATTTACCTGTAGTGTATCACGGTCACGATGATGTTCGCAAAACATTCGTGCATCTAATATCTTTTCATATTCGGCATTTCGTGTTGCTAATTTGGATATGTTGTATGCAATTTGTACATCCTCGATATTCACATCCGGAAACAATTCTTGTATATAGTGACGAATAACAGTTTTATTACGATCGCTTGCGGAGATGTTGGATATCATAATAGTACGCGTGGATGCTGTTTTGAAGGCGTTACGACCGGAAGAGCGTCGCATAACCAGCACAATCAGCGGCGCATATATAATCGTGACGATAACGTGTACCCATTGCCAGGGCGATTCGTAAGGCACGTTCTCTATTGTTGTATGTCCAAACGCATTGAGATCGGATCTACCTTCAGTAGGTCCACTGAATAAATTTACCGGTAATATGATAATCAAGGAAACCAAGGTAACTATAGCCATTACTGCCATAAGATGTTGTTGAAATGAAAGATAATGAACGGCATCTGGTCCGGTATGCAACAGTATTTGCTCCTTGCGTAGTTTCCATGTTATTCTAATCCAAGCGAAAATTCCTTGGTCGGAATGAATGGGCGACAACGGGGGCTCAGAAGCATTCGATGTAAGACTACCACGACCTTCCTCGGCACCATTTTGCATACGACTGGTGGTTGCTTGCGGCTGGGGCGTATCAACCATACTTGCACGCGAATAGAACACTTCAGTCCAACGTTTTTTACTGCCATTGCTATTTACAAGCGCCAACCGGCCATAGTCACCGGCCTGATGTCGCAATACGGTAAATAATCCAATCAATAACAGCCATGATATAACGTTCAATACTAATGTTTCCGGAATACCATTGAAGTCCGTGGTAAAAATAGTTGTTTTATTTGGCAATTTATCACACTCATCAGTCCAACCACGTTCAGCAAACATGTCTTGAAATACATCCATATTATTCCAAACTAAAACTAAATGGATGGAACCGTCGTACGTGTGTTCTCACTCCAATTCTGGATTCAACTTTGTCTTTTACCTGTCAAGAACAAAGTAGGTCAATTAGTCTAAGTAGATTCCTAAATTTGTATCACAGTTATTATAGCTCTATTAATTCGCTATTTCTTTTCAATAAAACTTACTCTAAAACAAATTTTACTTTCTCATAGTGATTATGCACATACATACATGCATGCATATGCATTTGAAATGAAATATCGCAAATTTACTAAAATGCTGTGGTTTTTGTTAGATAATTCCTTTTAAAAAATTGTCAAAAACCGGTCAAAATATCGTATTCCTATTATTTTGGAGGATGGTTCCGTATGCAGAAGTCCACGAAAGTGGGGAAAAGCTTCTGCCTGCCATTCACCTGGTAGTGGCCAGAAGTTATTCTTTTGCGTACGGTTCAAATCACAGCTCACGACGTGCAGATATTTATATCTACGTAACCTCTGGTTTGGGTCCCGCCACGTTAAAACCCCGCTCAATGAAATAGAAAACAGACTCGGATAAGACCCCGTTATTTTAATGACGACCACGGCAAACGTGTAAATGACTA